CTCAAACTCTCGGCTCCTCTCTGCAACTCTCGTCTCTCTGTGTATTCCTCTAATTTTTCTCTTTTCTCTATCTCATTTTTATTTAGTGGCACAAACACACATTTAAATAGGCAATTCCACCGACTTCACCAAAAAAATCAGCCAACAAACCCACGTACACAATTCAAGCCCAAGTAAATCTTCACTTACTTTTCCAATACAAAATCTTCACTCCATCAGACCACCCACGTGAAGCTCAAGATTTTTGGAAAAATAAATCCTTGTGGGCTCCACCAAAATCATTACAATTTCCCCTTTTCAATTTTCTTTTCATTTCGGCCAGCCCACCTTTTTCTTTTTCCTTACGCCACCCACTTTCTTATCTCCATCATTATCAAACAAACAACAGTCAATCAACCACGTGAACAACCCATTTCTCTTTTCAATTTTTTTTTTCCTTATCTTTATCAACACAGTCACCTTTTCTCCAACAAACCCATGTGCAACAATAGCCAAAGTCAAAAGTTGCCAAAAAGCTTCCAAGTGGGTCCCGCCCACTACCTTTCCAATCTTTTCTTTCTTTTCTCGGCTGCAACACCTTTGCTTCTCTCTTCAGCAAACAAAACAATATATATATATATATGATATATATATACATAAATGAAACAAAAACAAAATCCAACACATTATCTCCTCGTGGGCCCCGCGAATACATTACCAAAATTCTCTCTTTCATTCTCATCACTTCAGCGCCTTCTCCATCAGACACAAGCATATTATATATATATATACACACAATGCACAAAACCAAAATTAAATAAAATAAATCACATGCAACCAAAGCCTATTTCAAACTCCTTCCTCTCTCATCCCTTTCCCATTAAATCAAGTGGATAAATCTCCAATTAATTCAATATTCAGTCTTAACAATTAAAAAATCATCATGAAATAAATATAAATTAAAATCCTAAAAATTTGGGTTATCACAATCTCCACCACTTAAAAAGAATTTCGTCCCCAAAATTCAGATCCAACAGTCTTCGTATACCCGAAAACACCAATATCCACAAAACCAAATCCATAAATCCCTACTCCAGGCAATGTGAGATACTGTGATATGTAGGACGTCGTGGTAGCTGTCAGTGCTAGTCACCCGCCCACACACTCCATAACTGTTGTGGTAGCTAGTCGATGCGTCACCCGCCCACTAAAAAAAAACAATAACAAACCCGGGTTACCTTCCCAACCACACTAACCAACCATCCTAGTAGCTGCAAGTGAACGCCATCCGCCCACACACACCCGGCTATGAATGGTAGCTGACCAGTACTACACACTCGCCCACTCACACCCATCTACATCATCACTACACTCACACTTCCGGCTGGGTACAAGCTCTGATACCATTTTGTCACGCTCTGATACCATTTGTCGCGACCCAAAAATTCTAATAAAATCCTTAATTTATACAAATCCAAATACATCAAAATACACCCAGGATCATAAAAAAAATACCCTCTTTTTATACAAAGTCATTTTCCTAAAAAAATATACAAAAATTCTTCAAATAAAAAAATAAATCCTGCAACGCCGACTCTTCACCCTAAGCTCGAAGCTAGCAATCCCCGTTCATCTTCGGTACCTAAAACTGGAGGGTGGTGAGACTGAAAGTCCCAGTAGGAAAAATCATAACAAGAGTTTTATGGAAGTTTAACAAAACAGCTTCACAAAATATACATATTCATGTGAGTATATAAACAAAATACTTATGCATTTAATTAAAACATTTAATAAAAACCATTGAAGCAAAATCTCCCGATGCCATTCAAGGTATAGAAAACCCTACACTGAAAAAGATTTTCCACATTTGATCACCAAGTCCTCAAACCTCTGGCCTCCTCTGCAACCTCTCGGCTCTCTCTCTGTACTCAAACTCTCGGCTCCTCTCTGCAACTCTCGTCTCTCTCTGTATTCCTCTAATTTTTCTCTTTTTTCTATCTCATTTTTATTCAGTGGCACAAACACACATTTAAATAGGCAATTCCACCAACTTCACCAAAAAAATCAGCCAACAAACCCACGTGCACAATTCAAGCCCAAGTAAAACTTCACTTACTTTTCCAATACAAAATCTTCACTCCATCAGACCACCCACGTGAAGCTCAAGATTTTTGGCAAAATAAATCCTTGTGGGCTCCACCAAAATCATTACAATTTCCCCTTTTCAATTTTCTTCTCATTTTGGCCAGCCCACCTTTTTCTTTTCCTTCCGCCACCCACTTTCTTATCTCCATCATTATCAAACAAACGACAGTCAATCAACCACGTGAACAACCCATTTCTCTTTTCATTTTTTCTTTCCTTATCTTTATCAACACAGTCACCTTTTCTCCAACAAACCCATGTGCAACAATAACCAAAGTCAAAAGTTGCCAAAAAGCTTCCAAGTGGGTCCTACCCACTACCTTTCCAATCTTTTCTTTCTTTTCTTGGCTGGCAGGTTGCAACACCTTTACTTCTCTCTTCAGCAAACAAAACAATATATATATATATATATATATATATATATATATATATATATATATATATACACACACACACACATAAATGAAACAAAAACAAAATCCAACACATTATCTCCTCGTGGGCCCCGCGAATACATTACCAAAATTCTCTCTTTCATTCTCATCACTTCAGCATCTTCTCCATCAGACACAAGCATATTATATATATATATATATACACACACACACAATAAACAAAACCAAAATTAAATAAAATAAATCACATGCAACAAAACCTATTTCAAACTCCTTCCTCTCTCATCCCTTTCCCATTAAATCAAGTGGATAAATCTCCAATTAATTCAATATTCAATCTTAACAACTAAAAAATCATCATGAAAGAAATATAAATTAAAATCCTAAAAATTCAGGTTATTACAACCTCGCTCTCTAGCTGCTCTCCAACTTTGTCATCTGTTGAGAATGGGGAGGATGGGTCGTGTTCCTCTGTTCATGGGGATTTGGGTATGGTTTTGTGGAACGGATGTGAGTCTGATTTTGATTTGCTTACCCCTTTGGCTGTTGTTAGACCGGATGGGATTTTTGCGGAAGGAACTGGGTTTGATGTAGGGATAGCTGATTTGGAAGATGATTAGGTGAGGGAAAAAGGAGTTGAGGTAGGTTCCCTTTTGGGTGTTTCTTTTGAGGGTCGGATGGAGGAGGCAACAAGTTTATTCCTTGATGTTCTTAATGCTCAGTTTGCTGATAGAATGGGAAGTAGAGGGAGTATCCCAGTGGAGAGAGAGGGGAGGGGGGTTCCAAGCCCCTCGACTCTCGTTACTTATGAAAGAAGGAGGAGGGGGGCTAAGGAGAGGGCCAGTAGAAGGAGGGGTGAGACTGTCAACTCTACTGTTTCCCTATGAAGCTACAAATTCTTTCATGGAATGTCCGGGGTCTCAACGACCCAGCTAGAAGAAAAATGGTAAAATCGGTGATTCGGAAAACGGGTGGTCATGTTGTGTGTCTGCAAGAAACCAAGATTGCCTCGATGAAGGATGTGATTGCTCGAAGTTTGTGGGGAGGGAGATTTGTGGAGTGGTTTGCTTTGGATGCTATTGGCTCTTCGGGTGGTATCCTGATTATATGGGATAACTGGTGGATCTCTTTGTTGGACTCTCAAGTTAGGCTTTTCTCGGCGTCCTGTGTTCTGTCTATTGTGGAGGATGGTTTTCGTTGGGTTTTTTCTGGAGTCTATGGGCCTTCGGAGGAGTTGGGGGAGATTCGTAGGCGATGATCGTTGCCTTGGTGTATCGGGGGGGATTTCAATATTGTGCATTCCCCTTTTGAGAGGTCGACAGGGGGCAGGTGGACGGCTGACATAATGTCCTTCTCAGAGTTTATTGATGCTTTTTGTTTGTTTGATTTGCCTTTGGTGGGTGGGCCTTTCACTTGGTCCAGTGGTCGATTTCCTCCTACTATTTCTCGTCTTGATAGATTCCTGTTGTCGAGTGATTGGGAGTAGAAGTTTTCTGATGTTGTTTAGGCCATATTGGCTCGCCCTTTGTCTGATCATGTTCCGTTGATGTTAGATTGTGGTGGGTTGCGTAGTAGAAGATCCCCTTTTAGATTTGAGAATATGTGACTTCGGGCTTAGGGTTTTCTAGTCAGGGTCTTTTGAAGGTTCCATTGAAGCTTAGGAGGGTGGCGTGTCAAGCAGAGTTTGCTGAGATCGCTGTTATGGAAGAGATTTCATGGAGACAGAAGTTTAGAGCTTTGTTGCTCAAGGAAGGTGACAATAACACTAAATTTTTTCATAGACTTGCCAATGTTCATAGAAGGGGCAATCATATTGGGAAGATTCGGGTGGATGGGGTGATGTTCAGTAAAGAGGAAGAGATTTGTAAGGGTTTTTCTTATTACTTTTCGAAGTTGTTCACTGAACTAGCTGGTTGGCGACCTTTGCTTAATGGGCTTCACTTTGACTCTATTTTGAGTGTGGAGTGCTCTGTTTTGGAAGAGCCATTTTCAGAAGAGGAAGTTTTTTATGCTTTGAAGAGCTGTAATGGGGATAAAGCCCCTAGTCCTGATGGTTTTTCTATGAGATTCCTTTTGGAGTGTTGGGAGGTGGTCCATGAGGAGGTGATGGGCTCTTTTCATACCTTCCATGTTCAGGACTCTTTTGAGAAAAGTTTGAATGCCACTTTTATTGCTCTTATTCCGAAGAAGGGAGAGGCAATAGATGTTCGGGATTTTTGCCCTATTAGTTTGGTGGGATGTTTTTACAAGTTGATTGCGAAACTCTTAGCCTCTAGGTTGAGGAAGGTTATGGATGGCGTCATTTCTGACTCTCAGAATGCCTTTGTGGGAGGTCGTCAGATTTTGGATTCAGTTCTTATTGCTAGTGAATGTGTGGATTCCCATTTGAGTAGCAGAGTTTCAGGTGTTCTTTGAAAGCTGGATATTGAAAAGGCGTATGACCATGTGAGTTAGAGCTTCCTTCTCTACTTACTAGAGAGGATGGGGTTTGGTGGGCGTTGGAGGAGATGGATTCTCTTCTGCATTTCTAGCGCTCGGTTCTCTGTCCTTATGAATGGAGCTCCGACGGATTTTTTCTCTAGCTCGAGGGGCTTGAGACAAGGGGAACCACTTTCTCCTTTCTTGTTCCTTTTTGTGATGGAGGCTCTTAGCAGATTACTGAAGAAGGCTGTGAAGTTGGGTTTTTTAAGAGGTTTTCAGGTGGGCAGGGATGTTGCTAGTCAACTGGAGATTCCCATTTGATGTTTGCGGATGATACTCTAGTGCTTTGTGATGCGAACGTGTCCCAGTTGAGATATTTGAGATGCGTTTTGATTTGGTTCCAAGTTGTTTCTGGTCTTAAGGTGAATGTTGGCAAGAGCCTTCTTGTGCCTGTTGGGGATGTTCCTGAGATTGAGATGTTTGCTCAGATCCTTGGATGTTGCACTGGCTCTTTTCCCATTTCTTACTTAGGATTGCCTTTGGGAGGCCCTTCGAGATATGTGGGGAGCTGGGATCCAGTTGTGGATAGATTCGAGAGGAGGTTGGTGGGTTAGAAAAAGCAGTACCTTTCCAAGGGGTTCGGGTTACTCTGATTAAGAGCACCCTTTCTAGCCCTCCTACTTATTTCATCTCTCTGTTTCAGATTCCTTCTTCAGTGGTTAGGAGAATTGAGAGATTGCAGTGCAACTTTCTTTTGGGGGGGGGGGGGGGAGGAGAGGAGTTCAAGTATCATCTGGTTCGGTGGGAGCATGTGTGTCGTCTAATTTAGAATGGAGGCTTAGGGTTAAGGAGGTTGTTGCCTTTAAATAAGGCTCTCCTTGGTAAATGGCTCTGGAGGTTTGGGATTGAGAGGCATTGGCTTTGGAGGAGAGTTATTGCAAGCAAGTTTGGGGAAAGCAGTGGTGGGTGGTGCTCTCTTGAGTTGCGTGGTCCAAAGGGGGGTGGGGGTTTGGACTTACATTCGGAGGGGTTGGGATGATTTCTGCAAGCATGTTCGTTTTCGGATCAAGGATGGTAGGAGGATCAATTTTTGGAAGGATCTTTGGTGTGGGGAGCTTCCTCTTGCTCTCGCTTTCCCACGGCTCTATAGGATTGCTTCTCACTGACAGGCCATGGTGGTTGACTGTTATCACCTTGATAACGGGAGACTGACTTAGGATGTTCAGTTCAGGAGACACTTTCAGGATTGGGAGATTGAGGATGTTTCTCATTTTTTGGAGCTTCTGTATAGCCAGGTGATCACTTTTGGTGAGTTGGATTGTTGGTTCTGGGTTCCTAACTTGCAGGGTCGTTTCGAGGTTAGGTCCTTTTTCAGGTGCCTTCCGGTTGTTTTCGAAGACCCTTTCCTCTGGAAGTCTATTTGGTGTTCTAAGGCTCCCTTCAAGGTCGCCTTCTTTGCTTGGACTTCCGTCCTGGGTAAGATTTTAACCCAGGATAATTTGAGGAGGAGAAATCAGGTGATGGTTAATTATTGTTATATGTACTTGTGTGATGAGTTGACAGTTGATCACCTTCTTTTACATTGCAGCATGGCCAGAGACTCTTGGGATTTGATGCTTGGATTATTTGGGGTCAATTGGGTTATGTCTTGTTCCTCTAGAGGGTTGATTGAGGCTTGGAGAGGCGTCTCTGTTGGGGCTCTCATTCAGGATGCTTAGAGGGCTACGCCTCTTTGTATTTGGTGGTGTATTTGGCTCGAGAGAAATAGGAGATATTTTGATGGAAAAAAGAAACCTATTTCTGTGCTTAAGTTCTCTATTATTTTCACTCTTTTTTGTTGGGTCTCAGGGAGAGATTATAGATTTACGGAGTAGATTATTGTTTTTTTGGCCTCTTTGAAGGACTAAGGCGCCATTTGGCCCTTTTGTTTCTTTGGGTTCTGCTCCCCTTTTGAATGTTTTCAATAAAATCTTACTTATAAAAAAAAAAAAGATATCCACGTGCCAACTTGAGGGGGAGTGTTAGCATATATGATAGCCACTATTTATGGAATGACTTACCATATTAACATAGATTTGCTTATGCATATGTTAGCATATATGATAGCCATGATTTATGGAATGACTTACCATATTAGCAGATATTTGATTTAGATTTGATTTAATTTATTTTCTTGTAATATGAGTATGTGCTCTTCTTTTATCTATAAATGCTAGAGTTATGAATGAGTGATTGATATCATTCAAGCCTTTACATATTATTAAATCTCATTCAAACATTTTACATATTTCTCTTTTCTTTCTTCTTTTTATATTTCTACTCCTTCACTACCTCATTTTTTTTTTCTTGGTCCATATTTTCGTTGCAATTATAATAAACCAGTCTAGTATTTCTATATCTTTGATCTATTTTCCAGTTATTACAAAATTACAATACTTAGGAGTTAGAGGTTTGATTCTGGTGATGGCACAAGATTTAATCACTTGACATTTGTCATTATTCATCACTGATTTATCTTGTCTATTCCAGTATATGTAATGAATCCACTGAGTCTCTCATCCCTGTTCTGTTAATATTCTGATGGAGGAAACTCTTAATGAACACCTGAATCAATTAAGCGGATAAACTCATAAATCAGCTTATGTAGGAAACTTCCGAATGACTGGCATCATTTTTTCCTTTTTCTCAAGTAATATCATCCTGAAATGATTCTGCTTATCGGACTGTATTCAGCAGTGACTTTTTTTCTTCCAAGTTTATGAAGCTAGGCGTGCTCTATAATTATCTTTACTCTCCTTTGTTTGAATACGTAGTAAAGTTTTATAACTGATTTGAAATACAGTTCTGCATTTATTGATGAACACTAATTTTATTTATTTATTTTTGCTTATGCAGCTACTGTGCGTAAGAAGATCCAAGATGAAATAGATTGTATAACTGGGAAGTCTAAGCAAATCTCTAATATTCCAATTCACTTGAGCATACATTCTCCAAATGGTTTGTATTCACTCTGCTCTTATCTAGTACCCAAGTCTTGGTTCGTATCACCGAACAGTAATGTTATACTGAATATTTGAACTATATCTGTTTATTGTATATTCTTCTTTTATATCTTCATCTGATACTTGCGATGGTATCTGCAACTCAAATGAATGTGCTTTATCCCTTTATGGGTCATCTACAAAAATCTTATTTTGCCACTCTCTTTATTCTAGGGCCATATGTCCTTTTGAGCCATGTCATTTTTTCCTCCTTTTTTCCCTGCTCAGTAATCAACCATGTTATTCCTCACTGCTCCAATCCATGTTCTTTTTGTTTTTTCCTTCATACTTGTAACACCCACAACATGGACAATGCAACTTCTTTTCTTGCGGATGCAACCACTTATATGATCATGTTTGCATGAATCTTGTTTCATTTGAAAATACTGATGTTCTTTTCTGTTCCTTCCCTTGTCATGTTACTGAAGCATGTATTCCATTAAGGCTGTTGGTGTTCTTTCACATTTATTTATCATGTCTTTGCCGTGGATGTAGGCCTGTTCTCCTATAGAGATACACAATTCTTTCTACTGCAGTAACTTCTACATAATAAGTCTTTTACCCCTCAGGGTAGTCTGATATTATTTCAAGGAGTTATGTACTAGAGTTTGTCAATTCTTTTAAGTTGTGTGCCTTTAAAATTAACAAACAATTTTTTTGGAGAAGACAGTACAATGTGATATTGCTGAGATCACAATTAAGGCAGAATCCCAAAAACTATTATAAATATCTATCTTGACCAACATAATTTTTCTTCAATCTGCATTCTCATTTGCAGAGTGAACCTACCATGCTTCTAGTTAGCCTCTTCTGTCCAGCATAATGTAATAAAAAATCTGACAGATATATTGTGTTCCATCATTTTAGTAACAAATTCAATCTTGCTAGATCCATGTTAGCATGGAAGTGGAATTATGATAGTCATTATGCTATTGACATATTGTTTATAAAAATTATTGTACTAATTGATGCTTAGGTAGAGAAAGCATAAAACTTATTGGATACCTTGGTTTAAGTAGTGGTAGAAAAGGACATATGCTGAAATTTAGTTCACAATGAGAAGAATCTTTTGTGATGTGATTATATATACTAAACTATAACATGCCACTGCTAAATAAGGAATTTGGAGGGCCTGTGGGTTTAGTTTTTTGTGTTAACCTAAAAATGTTAAAGTGATTGTAGTCCCCATTAGAGGATGTGCACTGATGAAAATTTCCTGTTGGTTGCAAGCATAGATAGAAGGTTTCATTAGAGAAAGATTATGTATTTGCTTTATGAGAACAGAATAAGTGTGTTTATCAATTATGAGTGTTTCATGAAGGATGATAACTAAATAATAAAGGGAAAAAAAATTATACCTTTTGATTTCAAACCCAGTTCTATTTGGAAAACTATTCTCTGCCAATCTATGCACTATAATTTGAGGGTAAGTGGAAGCTTTATATTCTCATAAACAGCTCAAAAATCATAATATGTTATGTAGATAGAAATGGATACCAAGTGTTATGTCATTTTAGTAACTTTAGTAGGTATCCTGTGAAAATGATGATGTGAAGATGGCTATGCTTAGCAACCTTTAGCTACCAAAGAAGGCCCTCTTTTTAACCTTATTGGAGTTGCATGCCATAAGGGACTTGAAATACAACACTTGAGTTTATAACTTAGGTGCAGAGTGAAATATGTATTAGTCTTAATTATCAGCCAAATCATCTTGGCTTATTTTTCTTGCCAGCTATCTTACACGGATTTCTTGTCATTCAACGTAATCCATAAATTTTAAGGATTTGACTCCCAAGAGAAGAATAACAGACAATGCTTAGACATGAAACTGCCTGGGCATGAAGTTTTTAATGCTTCCTTCATACTTCATCAGTTTCTTTACTTTTAGTGCAAGCACTTGCCGAGGACCTTGCCACTTTAATGCATTAGCATTTTCGAGAATCATGGGCTGTGACATTATGTATGATACATTACCCTGTGATCTCTGATTTGTCATCTGAGGATGTGTTTGGCGGCATGGAAGTGGACCCTTGGAATTGAAATTGGTGGAATTGAAGAAAAATTTGGTTCAATTTTTTGAGTTGCTTTTCTTTAATCCCACTAATTCCAATTCCATGCCAGCCAAACATAGCTTGAATATATTTTACTTATTTTTTTCAACTCACTTTAGTTTGGAATTATGACTTATTGTTAGAAGATGTTATATTTAAAAAAATTATTATAGGAACCCTTAAATTACTCCTTGACAAAATATTTGATATGAGAATATCATTGGAGAGATTTTAACCTATGATAAAATATTGATTGGAGTGATTTATGGTATTGATTTTAGAAATCTTCCATTAATGTATTTTCCATATTTATCACCTCTATTCTTTCGCCTATAAATAGAGGTGATCATGGTATACAAAGATTAAGAGAGAATATATTATAAAGTGATGTGGCCCTTTGGGCTCTTTGTGCCGTGGATGTAGGCCCTAGTGGTTGAATCACGTAATATCCTTGTGTTCTTTGTATTTCATTTCGCTCTTCACTTCTGTTTTATGCATGACAACATGGTATCAAAGCCTAATTTCTTAGCATCTTACATGTTGCTGAGGGTTTCTCGATGCTATTTGTGACTTATTTGGGCTACCGGTTTGTTCGGCAGTAATGTTCTTCGCCTTTGCCGTGTCTTCGGTAGTTTTTATCGTCTTTTTTGGGCCGCCGATGTGTTCGGTAGCATTGTTCTCGCCTTTGTCGTGTCTTCAGCAGTTTTTATTGACTTATTTGGGCAGCTAGTGTGTTCGGTAGCATTGTTTGTAACCTTCGCCATTTGTTCGGTGCTATGTGGACTCATTTAATGTAATACCCCTAATTTTAAAAGGATAGTCTCGGCATTTATTTATTATTTTTATTGTATTTTTGCGTGATTATTTGGTTTAATTATTTTCTTTGGTTTAATTATTTTATTTAATTGTTTACCTATGTGACATGTATTTAATTGACATTTATTTTTTAAGTGTTTTAATTGTTTAACTGGCATTTATTGTTTAATTATGAATTTTCTTTTTGTTAATTATTTCTTGTTTTCTGTATTTGGATTGGTTTGGTCTTTCTAATGTGTAATTGGTTTATTTAAATATTTTAATTAGATTAAATTATAGACTAAATTAGTATCAGTTACTGTATTAAACCGAGTATCTTATAACCTAGATAGCTTTATGAGCCGACAGTGAGTATAACCTAGGTTTTTATGGGCCGAGTTATACATGGATTAGGGTTTAATCATTAAGCCTATAAGTATGTGTGTCACGGTGGTTTAGGGTTTTTAGAATAATTAAATGTAATTTCTGTAATAAAAAAAAACAGAGACCGTGGGATACAGAGGGAGAATAGAGAGAGATAGGAGAGGAAGGATAGGTGGGAGCAAGGTAGAAGGAACGTGGGTTTGTGGAACAGCAGTGGGGAATTGAACGGGCAATACAGAAACTGGGAACTTAGAGTTTCAAGTCTGAAACTCAAAGGCAAGTTCTTATCTTCCTCCTTCCCTTGGCTCGTGTTCTGTGCACTTAGATTATCTCTAGGGATGAACTAATTAATAATTGAAACTTACGTGTTTATTATATG